TGTGGAGCCCTAGAGTCTGGCTGTGCTAAGGAAAGATGCCAGCAATGTCCTCGCAGCATCATCTGACTTCTGGTCCCATGAATTAGGGTGACAGTGAGTGACGAAGCCTGGCAGTGCCGCAGTCTGGCTGGGCACAAAATCACGAGCCACTCAAGCAGGAACAAACTTTATTTCCAAAACTCCCGCGAATGCTGCGCACGTGGCCTTCTCCCAGGACACACTACCCCAACCAATGGGAACTCTCTGGTGGTCTGGAGAGAGCTCCAAAGTAGCAGGCCTAGGCAGACAGCAGGGGTCTAATCTCCAATTGAATGCACATCTTAACATAATCATTATCATCTCAATGGCTTGCTGGGGTCACCTTTCAACCAAAAATGCCATGTGTCATTCCTACTTGGCTATGGCTCTCAGCATGGCAGTGGACGGTTGGTTAGCCACCGCCCAGCTCCACTGCTGACCTGAGATGATGTGGGGGTGATCATGGATTCACCTGAAAGCTTTTAAAGTTTGTTGCAGGATACAGCTTTCCAGCTCCCACCCGGACAGACCAAAACAAACCTCCATGCAGTTAGAGTTGGGTCCAAATGTTGGCCCCTCCGTCAAGGGCAACTCCTGCTTGTGAACTGAGGGCACCAGCATGTACCCAGGCTGTGAGGATTGGAGCCCATGCATTTGCAAGTCCTGCTAGGTTTAAGTTGTCTGAGTACCTTGTTTTTATGCAGGGGAGGGGCGTATTAATAATTATTATTTTTTACACAGGGAGCCCTTTTTCCTATCTAATGGGAAGGTGACGGCTATCAACACTTTCTAACTTTTCATTAAGAAGCGTAGGTTTTAAGACAATAACAGGAAAGAAAGAACCTATTCTCTCTGTGCCAGCCTCCGTCCAGTTTAGAACAAAATGTTATTCATGGCCAGGCTCCACCTTGCTGAGGAGGGCCCGGTGTTTGTCTTTGCGAACACAGTCCTTCTGACAAATCCATGGAAAACCACGTGTTAACAACATGGAGACCCCAGAGAGGTGACTGGCTTAGAAGGAATGTGGCATTTGTACTTGATGGCAGGGGGCTGGTGTGCCTCTCTCAGTCATGGGTTTACCCTTCTCAGATTAATTAAAATAATCTGCACAGAGGATTCATCCCAGCTCTTGGTACTCTGGAGGCCCACCCAAAACAGGAGCTGTGGTTATCACCCCATTCCCTGGGATGGACTCCTGTTCCTTGGATCCCTGATGTCTGAATCCCACCAACTCTGGGTCTGGAAGTTGTTCCCAGGCTCTGCCCTGCCTCCAGCCCCTTGGGGATGCTCTGGGAGGGCCCGGTGTTAAACCAGACTGGGGCAGAGCAGAAACAGCCTTGGCTTTGGAGGGGAGGATTTCCCATGCCAACTTTTTATCGGATGGGAAGGGCTGAGTTGAGAGGCAGCAGCAGGGGATAGCACAAATAAATACAGAAAATCCTCTCCAGGGGCCGCCATTGTCCTGAGCACAATGGCGGCCCCAGAGAACATTTTCATCCCGTTGACATTGGAAAGTAAAATAAATGTGGTCATACTATACCCTCCTCCATAGCCCTGGCTGGCTAGGGCCTACCCTCAGCTCTGCAGGAGACAAAGGACACATTTTTTCAGAATCCTGGTCTCAGGTGGGAGAGAAGGAAATTTACAACGTGGAAGGTCCTCGGGGCTGGGATCTAGATGTCCTTTGGCCACTGCTCTCCCCAGCCCCCTGTGCTTTCTCAAAGCTGCCAGCCTCTCGCCTCCACCCTTCCTAGTGTTCTCCAGCCTACAATGGACCACGTCCAGCAGGGCAGGGCTGGTGGACACACCCAGGCAGGCTGCTGGACTCTGCAGGGAAGAGGAGTCCCTTTCCAGCAATGGGCAGGAGGGGCTGAGTGAGACTGGTAGCTTTTTTGAGTTGAGAACATGTCCCCAAATACCCTATGGACTGGCAGCTCTCTTTATCTTTGCAGCCTTCAGGTGCTCTGAAGTCACACAATCAGAAGGATCTTTCTGGAACCAATGACATCTCTCATTGGAATGAGTCCCAGCTCCTCTTCAGGTGGTATTTATAAGCATCCTTGGGGTGGGGCAGGGTCCTCCTCACCCAGGAAGCTGGCACCTTCACACACCTCTGGTTCGAGCCATCTGCCACCCTGGCTGGCTATAATGTGTGACACCCAGAAGGCCAGCGTGGTACTAGAGATAGGGTTTGAATCCCAGCTCCCCAATAGCAGGCAGATCTTGGATAGGACACTTAGCCTCTCTAGGTCTGTTCCCTTAATTCTAAAATAGAAGCAATGTAAGGAATCAAGAAAGAAATCACATAGTACGCTTGCTCAGGGCCGGGTAAATAGTAGGTTCTTATTACTTGGCAGCCACTTCATTAATAAAAGCTAATGTCTGAGGACTCATTTTGTATCATGCCAGGTCTTATTCTATGGGAATTCCATAATAATCTTTTGAGGTAGGTATTATTATTTATTCCTTTTATAGAAATGGAAATTAGGGTTGGGGAAATTAAACAAGTTGTCATTAGGTATGCAGCTGCTTATTGGTAGAGCTGGAACTTCAGCCCAGACAGTTTGATGCTGAACCCTGCACATAGCTGCTGTGTGATCCTCTCAGTTCTCAGTGCTGTTAGTTGGCATATCTTCAGGGATCTCAATCTTTAGACCATTGCAGGGTGAAGAGGGTGCTGTTATTGAGAATGTAAAGAGGATGTAGGCTTGTTTGAATGCTCAGGTACTATGCAAAGATGGCAGATGGGAAAGCTAAGAATGAAAAACTCAAATTCTAAGTTATTTAAAATATAGTATTAGACCTTATCCAAGCACCAGAACTCCGCTCCAGTGTCCAATAGCTTCTAGTAATAAAGCACTTGCCTGCATCTGAACACTCCGTCTTACATCATTTGCCTCGATGCCCCATAACATGGCCAGAACAGGTATTCATTCTCAATCTATCTGTTGAAAACACTGAGACTCAGAGAGTTTATGGAGTTTTTCAAGTCTAAGTAACTAATTGCTCTTCATAAAGGTCACTAAAGTTTCTTGAGAAGTTACTATGTGCTGGGTACTGTGCCAAGTGCTCAACATGTTATAATTTAGCAACAATCTTATGATGGGTATTATTTATCATTCAGTCTTCAGAGGAGTAAACAGAGGCTTAGAGATACTAGATGACTGGCGCCAACACACACAGCCAGTAACCTGTGAACATGTTCATAACTGTTCCTTGATGATAGTAGCAGGGCTCATGGGCAGGATGAATGGAACTGGCCCTGGGAGGTTTAGAATGGCAGACATAGTCCTTGTCCCCAGAAGGCCACAGGCAGTGAGATTTGAAGTAAAAACCCATGGGATTCTAAAGGAAGAGGCTGGATACTCCCAGCTCTGCTGCTCACTGGCTGAGTGACCAGGCAGGTTTGATTAGCCCCTGAGCTTTGGTTTCGTCACCACATGGTGGAGCTACCATTCTCTGCCTTACGGGATTGTCCTGAGGGGTATGTTGAGGCTTTGCCTGGGTTAAGGGTTGCCTGGCACTCAACATGGAGATTTCCCTGGAGTCAACTGTAAAGCAGAAACACACGCAGAGCTAACAGTACCAGACGACACTTGCCAAGCACAGAACGTGAGGTTCAACCATAAGCATGCAAAGAATTTGCTGGGGCTGGCTGGGCTGGGCCATCAGACAGGCCCAGGGAAAGGGTGTGAATGTGCGTCGTCTTTGATTTAGGGCCAATGGAGCCCCTGGGAAACTCCCACAGAGCTGATGGGAAACTGGTTTTAAAGAATCAACACTGGCCATGACCTCCTTTCCTTGGGGCCCGATCTTCTCTCCTGGCCACCTCCTTGAAGAGTTGGACACTGTATAGAGGAAATGTCACTGGCTAAGCTGAATGGGTGGGCAGAGGCGTGGTCTGCAGTGGTGAGATTCCGGGCCGGGCCTCAGGGGAGGGAAGTGGTGGGTGGGTAAGGGGTTGGTCATGAACATCCTTAGACTCCCATCAAAGGTGGGTGAGCTTTGCTCTGAGGGAGGGGTAGCCATGAAGTGAGGCAGGAGTCAACTGCCAATAAAAAGGTGGCCACCAAAGCCAAATGCCACAGGTACTCATAATAGGGACTAGAGACAACTCCTGGCGGAGGGGGTTATGGACCAGTGTTGGTGCTGGTGGAAGCAGAGCTGAGTAGAACAATGTTCCTGGCCTGTTTCTAAGGAATAACCAACCTGAGTCCTGCACCCAGGCAAGGGTCTGTGTGAGTGCGGGTGTGACCGGCCCCTGCACAGACTCGACATGTAGGATGAAGGCTATGGCCGAGGCAGGCCATCTTGAGTATGTTCCCGCAAGCTTAAAATCCAATAAACTGAAATCTAGATTTTCTTCATGTAGATTTTGATAATGCGAAGGAATCCAAAGATTTGAAGACGCTTTTCTCCTGGTGCATTTCAGCTTCTTACTAACAAGGCTCACACTCCTGGAAACTCACAAGCTGTTGTCCTGCAGCTTCTACAAATTCTCAGTTTTGTCCCAATGACGAAGCTGTCACCACTGTGTCACAAACAGAACCAAGCATTGGTTATATTTTCACAGTGTGATAGCCGGACTAAGAATTTTCCCTTCTCTAGTCAGCTTGGTCAATATCTGGATCATTCAACAAACAGCTGTAAAAAATGCATTGAGCTACCTTCCAATTTATGTGATAGAAATGTATTCCCAGAGTTTTGGGTTCATTCTGGTTTTGTTTTGGTTCTTGGAAGTCAGAATGGTAATTTTTTTTGTACCAGGGTTGGAATGTAGGGGCACTTCCCACTGAGCCCATCTCCAGCCCTGTTACTTATTTATTTATTTATTTTTGAGACAGGGTCTTGCTAAGTTGCTGAGGCTGCCTTTTAACTTGCCATCCTCCTGCCTCAGCCTCCTGAGCCACTGGGATTACAGGTGTACGCCACTGAACCCGGCGAAGGAAACCTGGGAGCAAGAAATGAAAGCACAGAGGCACTTAGGAAGGAAGCGCACGGCTTTATTCACGAGCTGTGGTACAGCAGGATGCGGGGTGGAGTGGCGAGGGAGCGTGGAAGTGCTGCTCCAACAGGAGCATGGAGCAGGTGGGGACTGCGCAGCTCATCAACACAGGACAGGCCAGCCCCCCTCCTGTGCACACAAGCACGAGGTACTCGGGTGCACACGCACACCCACCTCACTTTCACGGGGAACACAACACAGCATTTCAAGACGTTCCTTCTAAACATCTGCTTTTGTATTTCCGAAAGGAGAGGGAAGACAGGAAGAGCTGATGCCTTTCACCAGTTGATAAAAAGCCACAAACCCAGCTTAAAATGAAGAACCTTGAGAGCCTCTATGCAGGGCCCTCAGTAACACACAGACACAACTCACATTTATCACAAGACTGTATACACGCCAAATCCCCAAAGAACACCAGTCTGTGGATGACTATCTCCCTCCATAAGGGACAGAGACATAGCTAGCCAGGAGAGGGTGCGTTTCCACCCCTTCAGAATGGTAACGCCCTATCCTTCCACCTTCCATCAGAGGGCTCAGGAAGTTATTCATGGGCACTCTGCTCTTCCAAGAGGTGTGGGAGAATTCTGTTTGATGATCACAACCACCATTCAGTTATACGAAGCTGCAGAAAACTTTGAATTTTATTGTGCACACATTCACTGCTTAGAAAGTTTCCATTTAAACTGACAAACCCCCTCTTTCTTTTTGGGTTTACCATCAATTAATAATCAATTAATAATCTATATGCTGAACACATCCATTACCATCTCTCTCTGCTTACTGGGCAGCAAATGGAAGGATAATGACTTTTTTTTTTTAATGCCAAAGTATAGCTTTCTCTTTCTCCCATCACAGGGTTGTTGGGGAATCTACTTAGTGCACATTGTCATTGTTAGATGGTATCATTGCAAATCTCAAGCCCTAAGTGATCTTTTTTCTGGAAGGTTCTTCCAAAGGGAGCCTGAAAGAGCAAGTTTAAAGGTATACCAACACTTGGTTCATCAGAAGAAGAATAACTTTAAAAATAAAATAAAATCAGGGCTGGCAATATGAAGTACAGATTAAATAGCTACCAGAAATACAAATGAAGTGATTTATAAATCTGTGCTTGCTTCAGAGGACACAGAAGGGTTGATGGGACAGAGTTCATTCCCTTCCACCATCTTTCAGGACAATCAGAAGCAGGGATCTGTTAGGGCACAACCTGGAACTGTCCCTGCCCCTGCCGCACGCCCCAGAACCACACCAAATCTGCTGTACACAATCATTAGAGAGACTTACTTAGTCGAGAGTGGTTAATTTAAACTCTTTTAAATTTGCGAAAGCACATATATTTTATATCATCATCTCAGAAGCAATTCTTAGGAAAAGATGTCTGCTTCCAAATGTAAAAATATTAGGTGAGAGTTTTAGAAATGTTACCAGCTGGGCTTTCCCAGGCTGAGATGGAGGAGACCAAGGTTGAAAACAGAACTACAACAGCCTGTGCTTCAGAAGAGGAGCCTCAGCTGGGAGGCCCTGGATTTCGGGTCAGGGGAGAACAGAGAGTACAGGTAGAAAATCACCCCCATCCCTGCACCTTGTTACTCATTAATTCTAGTTTCTCTCTCTGAGATTTCAGAGAACAGGCAGCTTATGTTTAGTTATTGAAGAAGTCACATTAAAAACATTTAATAACAAACCCCAAACCAAAATGGAGATGCATGGCTAGCTGTATATGTTTCCAACTGCTCTTCAAATCTTCTAATAAATCACACAGGAAGACTTTGTGATGGCCTGAGCTCTCTGGAAGAAATTTTAAAGGAAGCACTGACTCATATTGTCATAGAGACCTCTTCTACTTCGTGCAATCAGTATGCGCTTCAAAGTCACAAGTCAAATGCTCAAAAAAGTAGCCCTTAAGATATGCACCAAGCTTGCCAGGTATATAATTCCTTTTCTAGAGATGAACTTTGTGTTAGCAGTTGGAATTTTCCCGTGCGGTCCAGCACAGGGTTAAATGGAGAACATCCATCTATTGTCTGTGTCCTGGACACTTCAAGATCAGGCATGCTGCACCCAGTTTAACAAAAATGGATAAGGCATTGTAGCCCTCACAGCAGATCTGGCAGTTAGAACTAGGCTGCCCCCAAGCCATCTTTCCATCTGGAACCTTCTGCTAGGGAATGGTGTAGAGGAGCTACTCCAAGGGTTTCTAGTAGCCAAGGACAGGCAAGAGGCTACTGTTGTTTTCTAGTAATTTATCTTTGAAGGGTACAGTTTAAGTGAATTAGTATGCTTGGTATGGAAAGAAGCTTTCTGTTTTTCAAGTTGGATGCAGAACTGAATTCAGAAATTACAAAAGAGCAGGGTGTCACGACTGGGAGCAGAATTTAGGGTTCAGTTTTTTAATTATTGCAACTGTAGGGCCTTTGACTCTGGATCTCTAACATAAAGAGGAGGAGTCTAATTTCCCTCTTTCATGACAGAGCCAAGCCCTCTTTCATGTGGACCAAGAGATGGAAAATATAGAAAACCACCTAATTGTGCCCAGGTTTCCAAATACCTTTTCTCACACTGGCACTTGACCTGAATGTTCATGAGTGATGACTCATTATCAATGACAGACATGGTGGGTCTTTCATTGACTCCACTAGCCTCTCCACCAGCTGAGTGCTGGGATCCACTTGGTCACCACTGTTAATGACTGGTAGGGAGACACTACAAATATACCACAGTCCCACCCCTATACTCTGCCAGGGCAAAGCAAGAAGCAGGCCAAACATTGTGCTGAGGCTAGGCTCCAATTTGAATTGACAGTTGCAGAGTATGAGGACCCTGGCAGGATGCTTTGAGCTCCAAACCAGCCCTTCCCACCTGTGTGGTCTGCAGCCCCATGAGCTACCTCAGCCTGAGTGCTGGCTTCTAAGCACCAACACTCACCCATGAAGGAGGCAACTTAGCCTCACTCTTGATCTTTGAGTCACATGCACTTGTACCAAATATCCCTTAGAAGCAGCAGCGCAGTGTGACAAACATTCAAGCAGAAATTAAAAAGCACATGCAGACTCACAGAACTGCCCTGGGTGAGTTAAGCGTGCATCCACGCACAGGCACGCACGTGCACACACTCACACTGAAGTTAACAGTGCCAAACAATAAGGAAAGCTGAGAAGGCCAAATTAAATTGATTGGATGTAATCTACTTTGGAGTTGCAGATATTTAAGAGGAAAACATGCCTTTCCTTAACTTACTACTGAAAAGACCTTAAAAAGCAAAATCAGCATGGGTTTGATTGGATTCAGAGGATGCCAGACGGTTTATAGGGGACACTGAGCATGAGAAGTTGCATTTGGGGCAGAACATGGATTTTTTTTTTGTTTTTGTTTTTGCTAAGAGGAATATGACCCATGGACAAAAATCACCTCGCTGCATGCAACTGGGCCAGTCGGAAGACAATTCTTGTCTTTCCTTTCTTTGTGAAGGTGGAGCCCAGGCCACCTCCTGTCCTTGGTGAGAAGCAAGAATCATTACATTATTTGAAGCAGAAAAAGAGTTCAGGGAGGGTTTCCTTCATTCCTTTTCCTTTTCCTTTCTTTCCTCTTTCAAAAAATTCTAGTAATGGCTAAGCAATTTGCCAACCAGGTCCCAGCAAACAAAGAGAATACGGAGCTTGTTAAAAATCACTTTTTGCTGATATTCAGACTCCATCAGACCTGCCCGGTTCCCTGATTTCTGTTCTTGCCAGAGCCCAGACAGAGCTTCTAGAGGCTGGCAAGGAAAAGCTGCGCACAACTGCTGCTACCACATGGCCCCGTTCCTCAGACTCCTGCTTAGCACAGTGCTACGTAATAAATATATTCATCCTTTGGAATTAGTACAACTGTTTCTTCCTGTGCGGCATTCTAAGGGCACTTGCTGGCTCTTACCACTACAGTCAGCACTAGGGTGGACAACAGTTAAAGGAAAACAGAAGGAGAAAGAAAGAAGCTCCTGTTGTGGACACGAGGTCATGAGAAAAGGTCACATGTGGACACTACTGCTGATTTTGGAAACATAGAAATTTCTACCCATGGCTGCTTGGCAAGTGTTACTGTGGGTTGGCCCAGTGTTTGGCTCATGGGTGTTGGGACCAGAATTTCCCTTTTTGTCGTGGCTGAGGGATGGCAGTCTATAAATTCTCCAATCAAGTCTGGGCCTTAGTGTAACACGGTAAGCCTTGCCCCGCTGCCAGTCCTTTTTCTAACTGCCGTTTATGTGTGGGACTTAGAAGAGTCTTGCTTTTTTCTTCATGTCGTTGCGTCTCCAAAGAGGTAACTTGTCAAACTCCTGTATGGACATCCCAAAGATTTCCCGAAACACTTCCGGGGCCAAGTGGCGCTGGGAAGAGAGAACAGAGTAGTGGTCAGTCCTGATGGCCACACGGATGGCCTGGAGAGTTGACCTCCAGTTTAAAGATACAGTTGACCCTCCATATCTGTGGGTTCCACATTCCTTGGTTCAGCCAAGTGCAGACCAAAGATATCCATAGAAATTGCCTCTGTACTGAACTGTACTGCATAGACTTTTTTCCTTGCCATTTACCTAAACAATGTGGCATAATGGCCATTTATATTATATTAGGTATTATGTATAAGATGAGGTGATTTAAAGTGTACACAAGGATTAGATAATATGCAAATTTTACATCATTTCTTAGAAGAGACTTAAGCATCCATGGATATTGGGATCTACTGTCCTCCCTGGAATCAACCCCTTGCAGGTACTGAGGAGCACTGCCATCATTTTGAAGAGTAAGGCTGCCTGATAAAAGAGGGGGTTATCTCTGATGCTCATTTACTAGGCCAGGTGAGTGTCCTTTCCACCAGATGAGGAGCTCGTTGAGTCTTACTGGTCCTGTTATAATCCAGTGTTAAAACAACACTGAGTAGTAATGCAGCACAGGAGGGTGATTTCTGACGGTGAAGGGGACTCCACTTAAGTTCCTTGGGATGTTCAGAAGATACATAGAAAATGGACCATGGCAATAGAAAGCCAGCCAGAAAGAGACTTCCAGGGTGGTCCCTGGGAGCCCTGGGCTTCTTCTTGGCTTATCAATGAGGGGAAGGTGGATACCTGGTCTACCGGGGAGGCCTCCTATCTGCCACCGCTTCCAGAACAGTCCCCTTAGGACACGGGGGCCAGTATTCTCTGAGCCAGCCTGACTTCTTCTACAAAGGCATCGCCTTTTGTCAGGGAGCAGTTACGATTTTTCCTGAGACTGGCAGCCAGAATTTTTTTTTTTTAAAAAAATCATTCAGATGGAAAAGTACAAAGATCAGTCTTCCAGATCTAAGGAGGCCTTGGGCATGTGTACCCAGCTAACCCCTCCACAAGGAATGCAGTAACAGCCACGAAAGACATTTGTCTGGTATAAACCTCCTCCTAGAGAGCTCCTTCCTAGCTCCCAGTGGGCTCAGCCCAGGGTCAGGGGCAGAGGACTATCTGAAGGGGGATGGACACACCCATTCTGCATTCCCCAGCTCTCATTACAACAGCATCCAATTTCCAAAGAAAATGACTAAAATCATACTGTGTCTCAAGGGTTGTTTCAAATGTCATTCCAGGCATTTTAAAAATACTGATCTAAGTATAGATACATTTAAATATAAGGGCTGTACTACTGTCCTCCCTGATGCCAGGGAATGCCAGATTTAGATTGGGCACCAGAAACTCAAAACATCCTTCTCAATCCGTCCTTGACATATGTATTTTGAGGGCAGGGGTCAAGTCTGGGTTATTGTTGTACCTCCAGGAGTCTAATAGAGAGCTCAGTATATACTAGAACAATGGATACAGGCCTGCAAACTTGCTTCTTGTGGTTTTTATCTCATTAGTGATTCTCTGAGATTTTAGTTACCTCTTAGTTCTACCTACAATATGAGATTGATCTTTACGATTTTTCGTTTTCACTGAAAAAAATAAAACATTTCTCTGGGGACACTGCAGGGTGCAGTGGGGGGTTGTATAGGGATCTGCAACTGGGTCTGGATTTTTTTTTTTTTTTTTTTTTACCTCCAGCCGGGTTCTGTCCACATCTCTTAGGATTTTGTTGCGCCCTCTGTTGGTCACCATGAGCATTTCATATGGAAATATCTGAGAAGGAAAGAAAATCACCTCCTAATATACTGCTGTTCATTTTATTAACAAGCAGAATCTACTTAAAATCCAACACTACCAAGACAGAGCTTCTGAGAGATAATCATGTCAGAGTACAAGATGTTCACCTCTCAAGACCAGCAGGAGCTCCAGAGGACAGGGACAGGGACATAAATCTCCATCAATGCCTCATAGAGCACTGTGCCTTGGGAGGGCTTGATTGGGTACATGTATACCAACTTACTCTGAGTGGGGGATGAAGGTAAAAGTTTGAGAAAAATAGAAATTTCAGGTATATATGCTGGCTTTTATGTAGTTCTGTGAGATGGCTGGGTTCAGCAATCTTGGTCCATAACTATCTCACGAATCCACAGAGCCAGGCAGGCCCAGAAGCAATGTTCTGGCAATGGACCCATTGAAATAAGCCCAGTTAAGGCTGACAGTGGGCACAAGCCCTTGGTTACCTCTGGAGGTACAGAATGTTCTGAAGCTAGAGTGACCAGTCATCCCAAGAGTGGCCAAGGAAAAGAAGTGCTGGTATCTCACTAAGAACACAGAGTTCCAACTGCAGTAAGGGCTTAAACCTGTGGACTTATTGCAGCCAAAGTGAAAAGAATGTGTTTTCTGACAGCTCTCCTAGATGCATAAGTCTAGAACAAAGTGGGCCTCGCACTCCGAAAAGGGTGGAAAAATAGGAAACCAAATCTTTGTAGGGCCATGTCATCCCTGCAAGAGACAAAAGAGAAGAGCTGTACTTGCCTTTGGTTCCAACATGTTGGGCATGGACACGCCCCGGTCCATTCTCATTGCAGGCATGTGGCCATCCGGGAGGGTCTGCAGCAGAAATGCTGGTTCAAGGATGAGCACAGAATAGGGGCGCTCAAGGGAGGACTCTGTGGGCTCCCAAACTTCCCGGTTGGGTCTCGTATAACTATTTTATAGATGTGTCATATTCCTTATCATGTATTTTTCAAAACGAGATTCTTATTGAACAAGAAGCAGGAATCTCTTCTGAGATCCAGTTTCAGAAAGATCCTGGCTTAATAACTATGGACTAATTTCTCAGTTTGGGCTTAGTTTTCCTTGTATTTTTCCTTATCTTTGCTCAGATGTTCTAGGCTAGGGGTGTAGCTCAGTGGTAGAGAGTCTGCCTGGCATGCATGAGGCTCTGGGTTCAATCCCCAGGACCACCTTTCTCCACTTAAAAAAAAAAAAAAGGTTCCAGAAAAAGAGGAATAGTTTGAGAGCAAACTATTCCTTTCTGTTGCTCAAGACCTGAGTTTCTTTCTGTTACAATTATAACTAAAAGAAAAAAACACTGCACATGAGTTGACCCTTGATGTTGGTCCGCTTTCAACCTGGAGAGACTCTCCTAAGCCAGAGCAAGAGAGTCTTTCCACACCTGACTTGGCTCATGCTATGTCCCCATGGCCTGCAGGGACAGCTTGACCTGGGCACCAGATGTGCCTATGCTTCATAGCTGTGGAGGAATGACAAATCAACTACAGTATGTATCTTCTTAGCAGAAATCATCACCCTGGGGCAAACAGCCTGGGTTAGAAAATGGCTCTATGGTGCTGGTGTGGCCAATTTAAGGAAGCAGAGTGGTCCATACCTGGTAATCTGAAAAGGAAAGGAAAGGAAAATATCACGAAAAGACCTGGAAAAACGTGGAGCCATTCCCAGAGAGACTGTCTTCTACTACAATTCCTAAAATAGTCCCCAGGAACCATGTTGTTTCCCTGCTCCCAGTCTGTGCCCATGCTGTACCGCAGGCTTCCAAGAAGCCAGAAAATGCCAACCCCAGCTTTAGGAATCAGGTAAAGCATCCTTCTTTTCTCTTTCCTTGCCATATGCATTTTGAGGGCAGGGGCTGTGTCTCCCTTGTTGCTGCATCTCCAGGAAGCGAACAGAGTGCTCAGCACCCAGAGGGAAATGCGTGGATTCCCCTTAGCTGGATTTCAGTAGAGATCCTCTAGATTTTAGCACTTGCTCTGCTGGCTCACAGAAGAGAGCTGTGATCCTACTGGAGTGAAACCCAGCACAAAGGCATGCAGTGCCTGGAGACAGGGCACAGTCTCAAGTGAACCTTGACCACCTGGGAAGAGGCTGCCCTGTCAGCCTGGCCATGAGAGCCTCACCTCGCACTCCCCCGCTGACATCTCCGTAGCTGTTATACTGAGCAAAGTCTGTGGAAACAGGCTGGAATGAGGGGGAAAAAAACATCATTAGAAAAACTACACAGTGATCACTTGGAGACAGGTAGAAAGAAAGACAGGATTTACAAAATCCTAAGAACCCTTCCCAGGCTCATTTCCTGGACCCTCATTAATCTTCTCTCCTATTTATTCCTTTACAACTGTAAAATCTTTGCTGTGGTACTTCTACTGCCACTGCTCAGCAGGCCCCTGGTAAGCAAATATCTCTTAAATACATTTCCCTGTGTAGATACAGAAATACCATTGCTCTTTGGCTTGTGAGGAGGACAATTTCAAGAAACTTTCCGTTCATAGCAGAAATAACAACTCAAAGCCAGGTGCGGTGGCCCAGGCCAATAATTCCAGTGGCTCAGGAAGCTGAGACAGGAGGATCTCGAATTCAAAGCCAGCCTCAGCAATTTAATGAGGCCCTGTCTCAAAGTAAAAATAAAAAGAGCTAGGGATGTGGTTAAGCAACCTTGGGTTCAATCCCTAGTAAAAAAAAAAAAAAAAAAAAAAAAAAAAACTCAATTACTTTTTGCTGCACTAGACTAATCTAGTCTCAAGTTTCCATAGGCCATTCATTTATTTAAAGCCAATTTCTCCTCTCAAAAGAAATATTTTCACTTTTTGTGATTTACAAGGTGACCAAGGAGGTTACAGTTTTCATTATAATCCAACATTCGGTCAAGAGTCAGATGTAGGGCTGGGGCTCAGTGGTAGAGCGATGTGAGGCCCTGGGTTCAATCCTCAGCACCACATAAAAATAAATAAATAAATAAACAAATAAATAAAAGTATTGTATCCAACTATAACTTAAAAAAAGGGTCAGATGTAGTCGGACAACAAGCCTGAACTTCAGCTAGGACTGAAGAGGGAATGCACAAAGAAATAACCAATAGAAGAGAAATCTTACCCGGTGAAGCCCGTTTTTTCCATAGCCAGGAAGAGATGAGGTTTTAGATGATGGAGCATAGGAAGCTGAGTGAGAAAAAGGTCAAAGGCCATTGTTAGGAAAGCAGAAATCTGGTTCTTTAATAACCTTGATAGTGTATCGCTTGCTTTGCAGAAGAGGAGATTTAGCAAAAACAATTCGAATGATATTGGGCTCAAATGATCACAAAATGCCACCATATTTGAGGGCCCAGGGAATAGTATCATAACAGTGACACTATTACGGAAGGGCAGGGAAAGAAAGCCAGCAGGACCAAGGGAGCTGTGCTTCCTAAAATTCTGGCCCCCATCTAAGTGCCTGACTGAATTTATCTCCTTGTATCCTCAGTACCCTAATAATACGATTATTATTTCCATTTTACAAAAGCAGAAATAGGAGTTAAGAGAAGTATCCTGCCAACGGTCACTCAACTCATGACAGCTGAACGAGGATTCAAACCCAGGGATGACTGAACACATGGGCCCCCTGTCCCAGTGACATGGCAGCAGTAACTGGCCTGGAAACCAACCATTTGAAGTTCTACTGGCTGAGCACAGCTGGGCTCCTGGGAGGCCTGGCCTAGTCCTGGTCTAGGTCTATCCCATGTGTTAAGGGCATGGAAGGCAAATAGGCTGCTGAATTTGATTTCTGGTTCAGCAACTTAACACGTCCACATCTTTGAATGTGTCATTACATTTTTTTGAGCTCTTCATTTTTTAATCTATGGAGATATGGTATTATGTATTCATATAGAACGGAATCTCAGAATTAGAAGGAGCTCTGGAGATCACCATAAGTGGTTCTGCCTCTTGCACAATTGGCCAGGCAGGCTCTGGCTGTCAGCTCATGCTAGGAAGGGTCTGCCACTCACCTGAGTGGATAGGAGAATCATAGCGGCTGGCTAACAAGGATGCTCTCTCCCGGCTCTCCTTCTCCATCTCTTCCTTCAGTATCAACTGCCCTAGGCCTGAATTAAGCTATGCACAGGAAAAAACAAAAAGAAAAAGAAAAAGGAAAAGGAAAGCAAAGTCTGCGATTACTTTCATGGAACTAGTTTCTTTCCAGAAGGTCTTGCAAGAAGTTCCTGACCCTAGGGGGCCTGGTTGCAGGTAGGTCCAGTGCCTGGTAATTCATCAAAAAGCAGGACAGGTTCTGGATTCTGCACCTCTCTTAGCCTTTCCAATGTCAGGGGAATGTCCCTGTGCCAGGTTCTGTCAGAAAGCTGCCTCCTTCTTTTGCCCTCCCCAATGTGTCAGTGGGTGACCTCAGCAGGCATATGTGAGTGTGTGGTGGACTTTTGATGTGGGAAGAGGAAATTGGGAATGAATCCTTAAAAAAATTGCATTGATTTAAAATCAAAACAAAAAATAAGTATGTGTTCATTGTATATATTTTGAAAAATCTGGAAGAATGAACCTATAATCTGACACCATTTCTAACTTCTATTTACCCTAATCTATTATTTTTCTATACATGTTTTATATAAAACTAAGATTATACTCTGTGTTCTTTCCCCCATATAATTAATGTGCTTTTCTCATCTCTTTGGAAAACATCATTTCAAGGGATGCATTATTGGTGGGAGAGTTTATAATCAGACATCCTTCTGGTTTGCGGTAGGCCCTTGCTAGAGGAAGGAGGACAATGGGCACCTTTTGGTGACTGTCCCCTTGATTCCTTTTCTCCTGGTCTAGATATGCATAAGATCCTCCAAGTTCTGAGGGGAAACTTGGAGAAATATTCAATCCTAAGGGAATTCTTCCAGAAGAGCCTGCAGGCCCCAGATGTACATCGCCTCCACCTACCTGGCCCTCCTGCACCCTCTGCACATGCAACACATGCCCACTCACACAGTCACACTCTCCAACCATTCTACAACTCTCTGACCTCCAGCCTCAATGTCATCACCTCTAAAGGCAAGTGCAAAGTCCTTATTAAAGTTCATGCTTGTCATGTCTCGCTGGACTGTAAGCCTCAAGGGGCTGGGACCACCTCTTGCCTGTCTTAGTGGCTTGTACAGAGTAGTGATGTAAAAAGTTACAGATTTTATTGAATTAGAATCGAAGACAGCTACAAGGTAGTTTAAGGACAAACCTTCATTAACTGCTCTTCTTGAAGCTGCCGGCGTCTCAGGAGTTCCTCCTCATCTTCCTCTCTGCCACTAGATCTGCGTCTCATGTCAGTTCCTAATTCCACAGCAAAGACAACTTCTCACATCAGCCCCGTGACAAGGGAATCTTAACGGACTAGTCCATCTGTGTTCAATTTGTAGGCTGGCAAGCTCTGAGTGGTTGGTCCTTCACAAGTCGAAGTGAACCAGACAGGGGGGAAAGGCACCCACCACCAATCCAGCTCGCCCAGGTGGTTTCTCTAAGAAGGTGGGCCCCTTTGGCAAGCTGGTTCAATGTACTAGTGACTCCCTGCAATTCTCTGCTCAATTAGAACTGGTTTGCCACGTCCCTGAGGTCAATTTTTCAAATAGAGAGGAATCTGAATTTATCCACATACCAACAAATCCATAAGATGGTTTCTGTCTTGTGACAAGTTTAAAAATCTTGTGGTTTTCTCTTTCTCTGAAGATTTAGACTTTTCAGAATACTATCATTGCCACCTACACTTAGTAAGTCAATTAAAAAGCATATTTGTTTGTGTCTTTTAAAGAATGGGTTTCCTACTTTCTTTTTAATGATACTTTTAAAAATGACTATAAAAGAATTTTCTACCGGGCTGGGGTTGTGACTCAGCGGTAGTGCACTCGCCTAGCACGTGTGGGGCTCTGGGTTCAATTTTCAGCACCACATAAAAATGGGTAGACAAAATAAAGGAATTTCATCCAACTACAACTAAAAAATAAATATTTTTTTAAAAGAATTTTATACCAATAGTTATGTAAAAACAGTATTAATAAAGCTAAAAATTACTGCGTGAATTTTTTTAAAATTGCAAACGGTTTTTACATTTCTTGGAATAAGGGGAGACAGGGAATGGAAAGGAGGAATCTGTCTGAATGGTTGGAAGATGAAGATAACTGTTGTTTTCCCTAAATTACTTGGATTAATCTGGCTGTGGGAGGAAACAGGAAAGTTTGCTAATCTAATCAAAATAAACTTCAACTAATAGTCTCAGTTTTCATCATTCTGATTAATGGACCAGACATTTTCCTCATCTTGGAACCCAAAGGAACTTTAAACTATGTAGTGATGATAGTTTCAACAATAAAAATTGAATTCTCCTTTTCCGCAAAAGCTTAGCTGCTTCCAAGTCCCTGCTCAGCAATACAACTGTGGGGGCACAAGGCCCCCACAGACTTCCAAAAGGCACAGATTGACACATTCCTAGTTCTTAAAATCATAAATGTCAATGTCAATTTTCTCTCTTTAGTGTATTCTAATAAAAACTAAGAAATCCAACTTTGTAAGAATTCAACAAATCTCATTAACATAATCATAGAATACTTATGAATGATGAACTAAGTAGATTTTCCCTTCAACTATTTCTATAAATATTAGTTGTTTTAAAATCACTTTATTGCCTATAAAAATCATTCCTCAATTAACTTGATAAAAATAACCTGATGCAGAAGATTAGGAAATTTTGGAAAATTGAAGGCCTTTCAGGTTGTCAATAGAAATGTGATAAGCTATAGTCATGCCTTTGTAAGGCTGACTCACTGGATTTTCAGTACGTGCTTCTGTGCTTGTTAATATCCCTTTCAGGGCTGAGTGATTTCACTATGACAAAACAGTAAAGACACAGACACAATTGGAAAGCATAAAGAAAAGGATGAAACAACTCCAAAATGACATTTTAGCACAGGATCATGGAGATGACAGATGTAAAGTTACATCCCCTCACTTGCTATTTCGGAAAATCTTCTACTCTGTAATAGCTCTCCTTAGCAATGGAGCACATGATCTTGCAGGAACGTTAAAGTGCTTCGGTGTTAAGGTTGCTGGTTAAGAGAACTATAACTATAATCCAGATATAGTCTAAAACAAATGTAACTAAAAGAAGTCATGCTTCTATGGACCCTCAGCAAACCCACCCACTAGACTCTATTTATATAGAACAATGCTTTTGCCATGAAGCTCTGACTCAACTGTGCTTGAAACAGTTGATTTTACAGTGATAACGCCGAGAGTCTGTGCAAACCATCCGTTTTAGACCAGTTCTGGATCTCAGTGGGTTTGGTTAGAGCCATGCTCTGGTTGATGTGTTTCTGTAACTGAAGCAACTTGCACACAAACTAATGCCACGTTAGGTCTTTTCACTATTCTGCCTCTTGGCTGTACTTTTCTTAAAGTCTTTAAGTTTGGACACATGTTCTTGTACCTTTCCAAGCATCTCATGGTTAGCTCCCCTCGCAATTTGTCCATTTGACTTAGCTGCATCAGTTGCATACCTACGGCGGCAAGTGAGGGGGGACCAGGCCAGTGGTCCGTCTCAATCTTTGGTATCTCGCTGGGGTCTGGCGCCTGGGCTGCTGGGAACTTGGAAAACTTGATGATATCTTCTGAGGACTTGCTCTGGGCTGCCAAAGCAGCTGCATCTGGATGGGAACCAGGGTTGCTTAGCTATTGGTGTGTAAGGCAGGGGTGGTTCAACCCCACAGACACAGTTTTCTCATTATCAGAAAAAAGTTTCCAGAAAGTTCTATCACCATGACAATTCAACTCATTTCCCTTACTTTATGTTAGAAGCAACGTTTTATTCTATGTCTGTCCTACATCCAAATTCTTGTTCTAGAGCTATGCTATCCAGTGCTAGCTCTATTTAAATCTAAATGAATAAAATTAGGTAAAACCAAAAAAACTAACAAACTTAAAATTCAGTTCCTTGGTTGTATCAGTTATATTTCAGGTACTCAGTAGTCACCTGTGATTAGTGGCTACTGCACAGGACAGCATAGATATAGAACGTTTTTACCATCATAGAAAGTTCACTCCTAGTATTCTCCAAGAGTAAATAATTATTTTGGAATTAGAAAATTGAATTATTGGAAATTTGAGTTAAAAAATTGAAGTTAAAGAGTTAAAAGCATGACAATAGAATTTTACTGTTGTCACTCATATTTAGAGGGATGGTAGCTTTGGCCAGAAGCCAAAAATATATTGATCCAGTTCATTTTAATCCTTATATGCTACATATGGGTCCTTGTATCTTGGGAGAAATGGAAATGGAGAATCTACTTCCAGCTTGCAGGAATTTAGCATTGTGATTTATGTATGCCATCCCCACTCACTGTTTTGTTCGAGAGTCTGTATATACAAGTGAGTGAACCAACTTTAAAACAACAAAAGCCAAACTACCAGTGACATTAGCTCAGAGTCCTTAGTGGCTGTGTTTGGAGGAGGATTCACAGGCTGAAAGTACTGAATCTGCCCTGATTTGGAGCAAAACAAACCAAGTGAAATGGTTGGTCCGGATTCTGGCTAATTTTGCAAACTGGTCTGGGATGTTACTAAACATTTCAAGACACAATTATAATATTTTTCTCCCTCCTGAGTTCATATATTTTAAAATCTGGAAATAACCTTTTGATCTTCAGCTCCAATATCTGCTTCCTTCCACTAACCTTCTGGGTCTCAATTTGCTTACATGATTTGACCAAGGTCACCCAATAATAAGGGGTAGATCTTGGCAGGACATGGAGCAGTGTTTCTCAGAATTTCTAACCTCAGGAGAAAAAAAGAAAATACTTCTGCGTAGAAAACACTACATACTCAACCCTTCCTGTAGACAGACAAAGTGCATTAGCAAAGGAAAGACCTAAGTTCTGCATCACACAAAAAGAGTGTGTGACTTAATTTAGATCCAGCCTTTCCCCAAAACATCAGGGCACAGACTGCAGTTGGGGCATGACATCTATTCCTTTGGCACTGAACAGTTGGCTGTCCTTTCTTTGACAAGTGCCACTGTGGCCATACTACTATTAATTACAATAGACTGAAAGCAAAGACTTTAAAGTCAGTATTGAAGGAAATCAATCGATTCCTTCCAAATAAAGGCTCACATTATACAATCTCCTTAAATCCTAATTATTTATTCAAGAGACAGAGTCTAAATATTTTAATAATTTTTTTTAAAAAGTCTCAACTGATAAGTCAAACTCTGGGAATCTTATTCTTAAATTAAAACAAAAAAGCATGACTTCAAACAGTACTTACTCATTAGAATTGGTGAAGTCAGTAGTTAAACATTCACATGTTAATGAGTGTGTGGGAAGACATTAAACCATAAAAAACAAAAACAAAAACAATGTTAACAAACTTAAAAGGCAAGCACATGATGCAAAACCTTGAAAAATAACGAGAAAAAAAAAAACATAACTCTAGAACCGTTCCAATACACACGGTCTTTTTTATCCCAAAATTTTGGCCTAATATTTTTTCGTAGTGTATTTTCAATTTTGCCTTTCATAGCATCCTAATTCTTACTAACTTATTAATGGTAACTGGATTCTAAAGTCAGCCTTCAAATTTCCAGGCACAACTTCTGTAAAATTTTCTGAAATCATTGGCAGTTTTGTCTATTATCTCTCTCTCGATTCACAAAAATTTCTGGCAGATAAATCCACAGAGACCTAACAACAATGGACAAAATGTGATTTACAGAAAGTAATGTGACTTCTGGGATTAAAAAATAGCTGTATTTCAGAACAGGAAAACGCAATTATAAATCCACTTTAGTAATTCTTTGTTTGCAGGAATGTCAAAGACAAACTGATTTAACTCAGAGGTCCTTAGAGATAAGAAAACTGAAGCACAGGGGGTGGCATGATATCACAGAGCCATGTAGGCAGGAGATGGCACAAGGATTACCACCAGTCAGCTTGTGCCCCATCCATTGCATGGCAAGACATTGGCACACCTCAGAAGAGGCAGGGGACTGGAATAACTAAGTCCATGTAGGCTTAGCCAAATTAATTTTTCTAAGTGTCTCTTTTTCATTAGTTTTAATTAGTCAAACTGCTTGCAAACTCATTAAAATTATTTTAAGGTTTGGTTACATTATTTGATGCAAAAATGTCTTGTTAGGCTGCTCGTGGGCCCTTGTGACCAGTACTTTCCCTTCTCTATGAATGGAATAATACATGGCCCGATGGGCTCAGAAATAGGGGGGATACTTCCTGATCCAGCCAAGTATTCTCCATCCAGGGAAGTCAGTTTCACAGCATTTACACATCTTATTGGACCTAAAATCCATCATAATATACTGGATGCCCCAGTTTGATTCTCAAAAGCAGCAGCAATTAAGCCTTTCAGAAGACAGCAAAGAGGAGACAGCAGACTCTGCTACTTAAACTATGCGGAGGAAAGCGAGTTTTACCATGCTGTTTGTAGATGGGTGGTTTTCGGTAAATGTTGATCCCTTGATCTGTGAAAATGAAAAGCAAAGATGTGTGATTATGGGAACCAGTTCAGTGATGGGAAAAACAAATCAACCAAGGGGCAAACCAAACTGAAGACTCCTGAACAAAAATAACCCAGAAGGCTAACGTTTGTATTACAAAGATTGCATTCTTTGGAAGAAAAGATTACAGAAATGAGTGAATTACTGTAGAAAAGTGATCTGGAAGCCTTTGTAATACATCTTAGCATATTGAGAGATATAACTTATTCATGAGCCATTTATTTCAAATACATACTTCACTGAAAGTGGAATTAAAACAGGAAGAAACGCAAGCAGTGGAAGCACTCGGATGGTGGGGAAGACATAACCAGTTTGGGGGGAAAGCCCCAAATTGCTACTGTCTAGAAATTGAGCTCCCAGTGGATACCAGTGGCTCAATTTACTTTTTCAATTAATGAGTGGAACAGTGAAAAGCAATGTAGAACAATCAAGAGTATTTTTTTTTTAAACATAAACACATTTTCTATGTGCAAGGCTAGCTTAGTGAGTTGATGGGATGCTCAAAAGAATCCTAATTTTTATAGGCCAAATTTTTTTAAAAAGGAAAAAAGAAAAATAAAGGAGATACTAAACACTACTCATGTGTTCATATAGGACCCCATTTGATTATGCCACCATTTCACTTTAGCTGCAAATATTCAGGAAATTTGAAAAAGGTTTCTTTTGGACACTGTATCTTGGCGGGGCATTCTTCATGAATTAATTAGCCAAACTAATTTTCTTAGGTGGCTCTTTTCTACTGGCCTTAGTCAAACTAATGGCAAGTCATTAAAATTATTTTAGAGTTTTATTAAATTATTCAATGCTTAAAAATAAAGCAAGTCTTGTTAGGATACTGTAGGTTGCTGTGTGGCCGGTACTTCCCCTTTTCTATGAATGGAATGATACATGATTTGATGGGCAGGAAGCTTTCTAATCAAAGTAGGTATTCTCCATCCAGGAAAGTCAAAATCCCAAATGTAGAACAATGTTCTTCAGGATTTCATGAAACTTTTAAAAACGGGCAGTCCTAGCTGAGTGGGCCAATCTCATTGAAGTTTCCTCTGTTTTATTAGGTAAATTTAGAAAGCAAAAGAAAAAAAAACTAATATAGATTATAAGTATATATTTACTGGGTAACTTACTGAACCTTTTTCAGTAGCTAAAAGGAACAAAACTATATACTGCTGATAGGAAAATACCATTGTGGCCTCTGATGGACAATCCCACCCTTAGGAATTCAGCCAACCCTAAAGAGTAAGATAGGGACAGATTCTGGTCTTTCCAGTTTCTGATGGCAAATTACTACTTGTGCTGGGACAGCCAATGCTTGTGGCTACTGGAGCAGAGCTGGCAGCACCACGCCTAAATTGCAAGATATCTCTGTGGGTTGGGTTATGGGGGTGGTGAAAGACCACCTCCCTGATCCAATGCTACACCTCTCTGAAAAGCCCATGGGGGGAAAAAATCTCCACACTGGAGACAAACAGGAAATATAAAAAGGTATTCTCAAGTGACACTGTGATTCAATCTGGAGGATGAGAAGATATCCAGACTGCTGTCGTGGTAATTTAACAAAGAACCACAGAGTGACATCTTTGAAAGAGTTAAAATTTTTGCAAAACAAAAACAATTCAACCCTTCTTTAAAAAAAAAAAACAAAAAACCTTGAGGTCTCAGTGGTGAAGTGCCTGCCTGGCATGACTGAGGCCCTGGGTTCAATCCCCAATATCTTTATTAAAAAAAATAATAATAATAATGAACTTGAGAAAAATGGAACCTTCAGTGTGATCCTGGCACTAGGCATATAGAACTTTCGAAAGGCATCTAGGTCGGATCCTGCAATTTAGGATTTGTCAGCTGTGTGCATCCCAATTAACAAGCATGAACAATGGAGACGAGACGAGGTTACGAGGCTACATTCTACACTGTGACAGGACACCGAGACAGACAGTGTCAGCTCCTACCTGGAACATGGAAATGTTTAGGGGCCTGAGCGTAAGTTGGAGTTAGAGGGCGGCTGTCGGGCCGGTAAGGGAGAGGGGAGTTCCGGCCGCTGGACGGCTCATTGCCTCCAATGAGAAGAATGGAGAAAACAAAATGAGAGAAGGGAGAACAATAAAGAAAACCAAGCAAGCGTAATCAAAATTCAACACAGCAAACTGCAAGGAGGAGAAACAAAGGAAACAGACTCAGTTTATCAAGTTGCTGGCAAAGGTGGTGTCAGGTTTAGTTTCTCAAAGGGGAGGCTGAGTTCACGCGGACCCAGGTGGAAAGCGGTTAGCGGTCAATGCGTCATTCCAATGGCATGCAGGTGAAGGCTGTGAGCCGGCAGCAAACTGATCAGATGGCAAGGGCACTGGGCGGAATGGAAAGTCACTTGCTACTGATTCCGATCAGTTGCCAGATGGGTAAATCCCAAGTACCAGAGTGGTGGGATATGCAATCCCCCCCGCACCGGAGGTACAGCTGCTTCCAAGCATGATGGCAGAGGCTGGCCATTGGAATGCATTTCTCTGAACTGAGGACCAAGTCTGGAAGCCCGAGCAGTTACCCAGGCTTTCCCCTTAGGAACAGCAAAACAGCTTCATTGCAGCATATGTTTCTGTTTTCCTCACTTTGAAATACACAAATGGAGTCAGATCCCTTCCTGCCAGGTGCTTGGGGACCACTGATATCTCTCTACCAGGCTAATGTTTCAATCACTAACACATTTACCGAATACCCATTCTAACTGGGCACTGGACTACTGCTGAGGACAAACCGGTGAATGAGACATAGTCCTTGCCTCCAAGGCCTCAGGGTCTACCTACTGAGGCTGACTGAAAAACATTTGTGTGTGTATGGGTGTGCGTGCATGTATGTATATGCACATATGTATACATATATGTACACGTACATGTTTACTCAGAGGTGCAAGAAAGGTGCTAGGAAATGAAATGCAGATGTCATCGATTCTTCAGGAAAGGTCCCTTGTGTTGGGCATCAAAAAGGAAGTTCTCAGGTGAGTGGGAAGGCCCATATTCTGAAGAGCTAGGACATCATAAGCAGGGACTGTGATATGTGGAAGCTACAAGACTGGTCAGTGTTCTTCAAGGCAGTATCTTGGGCATGGCTGGAGTGGAGGGATGCAGCTTGGCTGCAAAAGTCCCAAGTGCCACTTGGACCATCACCCCTTCTGATCACAGGGGAGAACTGCTTGTATGAATAGAATGCGTAAAATCAGAAAGAGATTAGCTACTACCCTGACCCCATCTATAGACAAATATCTTGTCCCAAGAATACACCAGAAGATGTAGGGCTATGAAAAGTTAATGAATTATTTATGTAATTACTTTTATTATTGATTTTAAAGGGTTCTTTATATATTCTAGATACAAGTCCCTTATCAGACATTTGCACATCTTTTCCCATTCTCTAAGTTGTCTTTTTTGATAGTGCTCTTTGAAGCATAAAGTTTTAAATTTTGATGAAGTCCAATTTACTTATCTATTGATGCTATTTTTAAATAAATTATCAGAAAATAGATATCTAGCCAGTGTTTTCATGTTAAATTGTCCTAAATCTCACTAGAAAAGTGTGAAAGAGTTGCTAGAGTTTTAAAATATGGCAAATAGTTTTTAATTCCTCAATATGGACATTTTTAGGTAACTAGAGACCAGACCTGTATCCAATGGGTAGTAAGATATTCTAAATACGATATCTGGATTTGCTACTGGCTCAGATTTCTATTTGAGGCTATTAGAATCCCAGGTTTTTGAGATTTCAGACTTTTGTCTTTATCCCCCCCGACTCACTTTAGCATCCAGTTCCCAATATTATAATGTTGACTTATTTATTTAAGTTAAATATTAGCTCCTAAAAATTATGAAGCTTCATCCCAAACTTCATCTACTAAAAAACTTCATTAAAAGCTAGTGTACTGGGGCTGGGGTTGTGGCTCAAGTGGTAGAGCACTCGCCTAGCATGTGTGAGGCACTGGGTTTGATCCTCAGCACCACATAAAAAAATAAATTAATAAAATATATTGTGTCCACCTACAAACCAAAAAATAAATTAAAAAAAAAAAAAGCTAATATACTGGGGTTGGGATTGTAGATCAGCATTTGCTAGAGAACTTGCCTAGCATGTGCAAGGCCCTGAATTTGATCCTAAGCACCACATAAAAGTAAATAAGTAAAATAAATATATATTGTGTCCATTTACAACAAAAAAATATTTTTTAAAAAGCTAATGTTACATAACAAATTAGAATAAAAAAAATTTTTAAAGTGTAACGTCAGAGATATGAAAAAATGTGCTCTATATGTGTAATATGAATTGTAATACACTCTGCTGTCATACATAACAAATTAGGAAAAAAAAAAGGCTAATGTACTGCTGTGATGGTGCACACCTGTAATCCCAGCTACTCAGATGGCTAAGGTAGGAGAATCACAAGTTCAAGGCCAGCCTGGACAACTTAGCCAGACTCTGACTCAATGTGAAAAATAAAAAGGGCTGAGGATATACCTCAGGGGTAGAGTGAACCTGGACTCATTCCCAGAACTGCAAAAACAAAAAAACAAAACTTTTTTTTAAAAAAAGCTGATTTACAAACATGGTTTTATTTAATCTCACTCTCCCCAAAAGCAGGAACTAGCTCATATCTGAAAAAAATACATGTGAAAATAGAGGTGGAGGTGAGAGGGAGAGGCAGAGTGTGGCTTGCACTGAGAAGTGAATGCTGTGTTAAACCCATGGCTGAATTAGAACTGGGTCTCCGGTGTCCTCCCCAGGGCTCAGCTGATTGTGTAAGTGCTTAACAAGTGTCTGAGAATGGACTACTGAAGTGGGCAACTCATTCACCCTACAGCTGTTCACTGGCCTAATTCAGGAGGCACCACTGCAGGGTCAGCCAGCTTATCTCTTTGATCTCTTAAGGAAAGAAAGCCAGATGCTGTTTTTCAACAGTGAGATCCCAACAGCACCCCTCTATGACTCTCCCATTACAGTTTATTCCCAATAACTCCAATTTAATCATTCTACTGCAGAAAAATTCTTTAACTCTATAAACATTAGAAAATAATTGATAATTGAAAAACAAAGTAATTCTTGGGGCTCTTATCAAAAGAAGACACAGAGGGTCTCTACTTTCTGGCTTTATTTTTAAACCTGTCTTTTGAAGACTCTTTCTGGGTCCTGAGCCATACTGCTTTTTTTCTTTAATCCTTTACCTTTAACCCTAGTGTCCTTGTAGGGGAATTTAGTTCTCATAGGTTTGGGTTGTAATACCCAATCAGATGAAATTTCCTTAAATCTGTTTTGATAATTATTAGCCAGTATCATGCACATACAAAGATATCTGCATATGCAGGACACAAAGGTTGAAGGTTATTAGAAATAGGTATTTGTATAAGTATTACAATCTACCAATAAGATCCTCAGCTGACAGGTGCCAGTAGAAGACACCCATCACTTCTTGGGTAAGGTTGAAGACTCCAAGGATCTTGGAGAAGCTGCCTGAACTCCCAGGAAGTGGATTGGGGATGCATGTTGGCAACAGTTGGGTGTAGCTCTTTATTTGTGTGATCTTTAATAATCATTGATTTCTCAGTTGTTTAGAAAGCACTAGTATAGTCAAGTGTTTATAAGTAATATTAATTTCTGACAAGACCTTCTTAAACACCAGGTAGAGAATGGTTCACCAATATGTTCATCTCAGAGACTGCACAATATAATGTTCAAGTACCACACTGGCTCAGCAGGGAATGAGGTCTCTGAATAGACAGTGTTGCCAAATACCAAAATCTGAGCCTTTGAAAGGCATGGAAAACTGGGGGAAGATTTTTTAAAAGCAAAGGAAAAATTCTCTTGATGAGGCCTCTTCCTTTTCTAAAGTAAAAACCTTTTCTTTAAATATTTAATTTCAACCCTACCCTAGCTCATGAAGACCTTACGAGGTTTTGAACTTAGCTCAATACTTGGGCAAAGTGATGTATGAAGCATCAGATGAAATATCATGTTTTAAAGGTATTATTATCATCATAGCCACTCTCATCTGCTAGTTAGAATAATATTGTTTATAAATACTACACTAATATATGTGCCTCTCATATGATAGCACATACATCACATTCAGAGATGATTTGTTCCTTAACTAAGTCCTTGGATTAGGCCATTCTAAGTTTTAATGATATTAGCTATTGCAATGAGAATCTATAACATACACACACACACACACACACACACACACACACACACACCCCTATTTATATATTGGTATTAACTTTAAGCTTTTTCTTTGTCAGCCTTACAAGCCAATTTTCTAGCCCTTGGTAGATTGATTGCTGGCAGGATTCTCACTATACTTATGAATCCAAATGCTTTACTCAACTTTGTTCTTCTTTTGGGGACCAGGAAAGCCTGAATGACTAATTCTAAGATAAGGGAATAGATATGGAGGTGCATGATTATGCTGGAACTTGTTAGCACACTGCCTAGCTTTCAGGCCTCCTCATGCTTATATTCCAAAGTATAAATGCACATGTGGAGGGAACCTTCATACTGGCAGCATCTAGAATTCTGTGACAGTTGCAAGATTGCCAATTCCTGCTTAAAACTTTAATAGAAACTTCCTTTCTCCAGTAAGTGTCAATATGTATTTGCATCATAGCAACTTATATCTATGGCAAAGTAGAAAAGATTCCTTTCAAAGAGACTTAATCTATGCAGCTCTCCTGCTCACAAATCCAAATTATACTTCCTGGCCATAGGATGTCATATTTAGCAGTATTTCAAAGGGAGAAAGAAGAGAAACTCAGCAAGTGTTGCACAAACAAAGTCTGAAACAAGTGAAAAAATTTTTTTCCAGATCTCTAGTCAGGAAGTTGTCCAAATGGCCCAATGATGACATACTAACACAGAATGAGGCTGCAAGGAAGATTGCAGAACAGAAATAAAACCAGATGGATGTTACAGAAAATGGCTGGGGAAGCAGGACACAGTCTGTAACATGCATCTCAGCTTCTCACCCATGCACATGTCCTCAGCTCAGTGAGCTCTGGGGGCTTGGGCCACATGCATCAGAAAC